GCCAATTTCGTCCCCTTCATTCCTGATAATTATGACCTGGTTGGTGGCGGAGGTGCTGATGGTGGTGTCGGAGCGTGGGGTGGGCGTGGAGGACAGAGGGGACGGGAGGGAGGGACGGGGGGGGCGAGTGAAGGAGTGAGTGAGTGAGGCTTTTTACTCCTAGACTGCTAATCCCCCTATTAAAAGGGCTTTGTTCAATAATGCCGGACAATTTCCGGAAGTGGGATTACCGCCTCCATTATTCCGCAAAAGAAATGATATTTCACACTCAAATGAGCCAAAGGCTGCAGCGGCGGAGGTGAGAGGGCCTGACAGAGGGGAGAAGAAGAAGAAAAAAAAGAAAGGGTTTTTTTCTTCTTCTTCTTCTTTTTAATTATTGTTGCACTTTAGCAGCTCAAAGCCTCCAGATCCGTCCTCTTTGAAACACATCTAGACTGTGATGAAGGTGGAATATGTGTTTTCCTGTGAGGCTGCACCTCTACATTCTCTCTTTAAAATGAACACACACACACACACACACACCTCGTCTTGATCCTCTGGCTCAGATCAGATCAGCTATTGTCACTCAGCTGAAGGTGAGAAGCCCCCAGATGAGCTGAAAGCCAACAGGATCAGTTGTTTAAAGAAAAAAAAAAGAGAGAGTACACACTCGTACACACTCGTACACGCTCGTACACATTTCCAGGCAGCCTGTGGTATCCAGTGTCCGCACGCCGGGAATTTAACTTTTTACAATCGAGCAAACAGTCGTCACATTTTATCTGCTGTGGTAAAAGCTCGCCTGTTCCCTCGCCCACCACTTTTTTATGTACAGTCGTTGGATCCAGCCGATCTGCAGGCCGCGCCACAGCTCTGTTTCTGACTTATTACGGCGTGTTTATATTTGGTCAAAGCCATAAATTATTAGGCGTAAAGGTCACTAAAGCTACCGCGGCGCAGGCGCGCGCACTTGTGCAGCTCTTACACAGCATTCCTGGCCACTTTTCTTTGTGGTGAATTCAAATTCCGAATATGTTTTTTTGGCACAGAATAACGCAGCACCGCGCGTAATTTACGCACGGAGTTTTGTGTTTTAGCTCTTGTGTTTTCTTTTCGTTTGTGTGTGTGTGTTTTTCCCACTCGAGTCTCAGCGCTAAATGGAAAATGTTTTTTTTTTTTTTTTGTAAACGCGACTCACTTAGTCCTTGTCCATTTGGACGGCTGGAACTAAAAGCTCCAGACGGCCAAATAGAGAGGACCCCAACAAATCGGTGACAAAAGGCTTTCCGTGTCATCAACGTTGTTCAGACGACCCAGAAGAATCCCTCTGATATTAGGTTCCACTTCAAAGACTCCCACTTCCAATTGAGATCCAACTATCTTGTTGTTTTTCCCCCTTTCCCTTCCCTTCTTTTCTTCCCCTTTCTTCTCTCCTCCCTTTTACGCACAAGAGCTGGTGCCAAAAGAGGCATCATCAGCGTCTCCTCTTTTTCTCCCCCTCGGTCTCCCTGCTTTAGTGTTTATTCTCTGCCTTCAGCTGGGCCTCTTCGAACTGTCATGCACTCAACCAAACTCTATAAACGCATCGGGAAATAGTTGTAGCGGCGTAGTTTCCACCCACTTGTACCTTCAGCGCTGTGTGTGTGTGTGTGTGTAGCACAGAGATTGCCCTGCTTGTCTTTAATGCCTCCTTGTAATTGAAATAAAGTATCTACAACGACACCGTGTTGTCGTGACGTGCAGCCAGGCTCTAATGGTTTTATATGTGATATGTACAGAGGTTGCAAAAATATGATTATGGTTAAATTTGAGCCATTGAGCAGCTCACTCCGGGTCCATTATGACTGTGTGACAAGTGCGTTTGCTGCGGCGTCTCCTTTGATTGTGGTAAAGTAAGGCCTGCAGCAAAAGAATCTATTTTTCCTCTTTATTCTGCCCTCGTCTCCCGTATAAAGGACATAGATTACCGTTTCCGACCCCATGGGCAGCAAATATTACATTCTTTGGAGCGGGGCTTTTGAGTCCACGGACATGGCCCCATATCATTTGAGTTTGACTTGGCTATTGCTTTAGAAATCTTAATTCACCATGAGGATTCACCGTCGTAGGAGAAAAAAATGGCTCTTTGTACGGAGGCTCTTTGAAGTCTGGATCAGAATATTGTTGCCCTTTCATCAAACCGTGGCCACGTCGGCATCAAAGTACAGCCCAGCTGAGAAAAGCGAAGTCATTTACCAAGAAACAATTGGGGAAAAATGTAAAAAAAATAAAAAATTTTTTTTAAAAGTTTATAAAAAAAAATGTTTTAAACTGGTGCCGTCTTTAAAATCAAATCAAACAGTTTTTACGCAGAATCGTGCGTAAAAAATAAATTCTTTCGTAGCAATGCGTTCTAAATTATTAATTCTAATTATTATTATTATTATTATTGCACCTTTTTTACAAACTCTCCCACGGCTCTGTATTATTTTTCATTTTCTCATACAAGATTTATTCAAAATACTCACAAAGTACAAGGCATTTCGGTACGCAGTTTGAGTGCCGCTCGATTTCAGTTATTGAAAATATGGAGCAAAAAAAAAAAGAAAAAAGAACGGAAACAAAAATGACGACAATGATACAAAAACCACAAAATGCCCACGTTTGATAAACATTAATATTCCACGGCTGCACCGTCCTTTCTGCACAAATGGAAAGAAATTTGCTGTAAACATAAAACGTTGTATTTTTTTTGTTTGTTTACAAATACCAGAGTATTCTGATATAGTGGCAAAAAATAATTACCACCACCCCCACCCCTCAAAAAATATCAACATCAACACATCGAAACTTGTACAAAAATTTACAAATGTACATTATTTTTGCTCCAATTAAAACATGCACTTTGGTTGGAAAATAGAAAAAAAGAGCTTTCTTTCAAATTGCGGTTGAAAAATAAATAAAAAAACATGTCGAAGTCAAAAATGGAATTTACAAAAAAATAATTTTACACCAATGTGCCTAAAGCCTACCATAATTCACCACTTATCTATTTTTACACCTCTCTCTCTCTCTCTCTCTCTCTCTCTCTCTGTGGACCAGTGTGGGCCGTCAGGACGTAAAAGCTGAGGTTTGAAAATATATTCTTTTATAGTGCCTGGAATTAGCACGTCTTTAAGGTTTTTGCACATTTTCCTTCCCTTCGTCAGTTTGGTGGCTCAACCCCAGCCCCCACCCCCCCACACACACACATCCACCCAAAAAAAAGTGTTGGGTGAGCCGCGGTCCTGCAACAGGCACCGAAGCCAAACCGTTCTAACAGTTCAGCTCGTGAAAATGCGTTCTGGCGCAGGAGTGTAAGTCAGATTTGTTTTACTGTGGAAGTGGGGATGGGGTTGGGGGGGGGGTGAGGGGGTTAAAACGCGTCCCTGGGTTCTGGGTGTCTGTAAGCTGCCTCGTCTGTGGGGTCGGGTGTGGAGGCCCCGCTGGGTGGTGTCTGGGCGCCGCTGGCACCTGAGCTGTGGCACACGTACCACTCGCTTAGATTCGTGGGCTGGGAGGAGGATCCCACGGGCTCCGACAGCACCGTGGAGCCACCTGGCTCGCGGCCCAGGTCTGAGGAGGGGGACACCAGGGACGGCGTGGAGGACTCGTAGCCCGAGCTGGGAGGTGGGGACTTGCAGTGCACCTTCATGTGTTTCCTCAGGGAACTGGGGTGTGTGTACGACTTATCGCAGCCTCTCACTTTGCAGTTGTAGGGCTTATCGCTGGTGTGGACGTGGGAGTGCTTTTTCCGGTCACTGCTGTTGGCGAAGCGTCGGTCGCAGCCGTCAAACTCACATTTGAAGGGCTTTTCACCTGTTAACAGTGACGGTGACACAACGGGATGGAAGTCAGTGAATGAAACATGGAAACAGCCAGAGCGTGGCCCTCAGTGTGACAACAGACACGTCATGCGTTCGAGTCCCATTTTGTTGCCCTTTCACGCCCTGATCAATAAGCAACAAGTAACAAAGTGCTGACGGACTGAAAAACAAAAAGCAAGTGGCGGATTTAACGCGGAGAAATTAAGTTATATTGAAACGGTATATATTTTTGGAAATAAAAATGTCATTCGAAGAAAACACTCTTTTGCACTTGCAGCTTTAAAGCTCTAGAGGGCCGAACGTGCCATTCTACACCTGGCGCCTGAAGACGTGCACGTCAAAATAGACAAGATACAATATATGTACATGTATATATATTTATATATTCATGTACATATATTCATATACATATGTATATGAATATACATACATGAATATATAAATATATATACATGTACATATATGTATGTAAATATATTAATATATAAACATATACATACATACATACATAGATATATGTACGAGCCCTTACATAACGAGGTTGAAGCTAAATCTAATCCAAGGTCTAATCCTAATCCAAAAAACAAGGAAGTCCAAATAACGATTAATTCTACCTGATTGGGACATAAAAAAGACAATCTGAATAAATGAGACTAAAATCATCCCCATCTACTACTGCTGAGTCCCCTCCCACTTCCTCTCTCTCTCTCTCTCTATCTCTCTCTCCTCCGATTAAGGCTTTTGAGAATATGTAATTGCCTATGTCTAATTACACTTGCGGGTTGAATATCAATTTGACCTTCAGCTGTTGGGTTGAGAGAGCCAATCAAGGATATTAGTGTAGTACAAGAAACCGTCGAGGAAAAAGACCCCAGGGGCAGCCCCAGTCATAAGCACACTTTGGGATGGGTTTTAAACATGATACCAAAGAGCAGGCCCCGTGGGAGTCAACACACAGAAATAATTTAGCAGATTTGTACTTAGGTAATGTGAGCAAATTATATGAATAATACATAGGGCTGCGGAAAAATGGAGCAGAGGGAGGAGGAAGAAAATTCATTTACAACTACAGCTCTGACTAAGCGATTTTTTTTTGCCCCCTTCTCCACGTCACCGAGGGGTCACAAACAGACATATCGCACCATTATTTGTGCCTTTAAGGTAAATCAGCCGCGCGGCTGCGGCTCCGACTACACTGTGGCCACGTCGGTGACCACGAGGAGCAGCTAACATGCTGCTGGGTTGTCTGCACTTGTCAACTTGTTGCTGCAGCAAAAGGCAATAAAAGTTGCGATCACTATACCAAAGCATGCCTTCTGTCGACTTGGCACACACGTCACGTCGTGCACTGGGGCAGTAACGTTGATATTAGGTTTCAAACGGGCAACTAAAAGGGTTGCCAGGGTGATTATTATTATTATTGTTGTTGTGACGGCATTAGAACCAGAGCAACGTCGGGCTAATAAAAACATCAGCACCACATCACCGTTATAGCACGTTAATGTGCAGATACGAGTCTGCAGCTTTGCTGACACTCGATGTCTGGCGTTTACGGACGACCCTGACGTGCACGGGCCTCGGTCTTTGTGCTGTGCTGTACTGCAGACAGGCGGGTTTGAACCGTCACACGCCTGACTGAGCTGCACCATATAATCATCAGGCTCATGCAAAACCTTTGTGACACATGCGATGCAACTCATATCAAACAGGTGGCCGCTGGTCACCACTGTAGCTGTCAGCACACGCGGATAAAAGTGCATTAAAAATTTATATTTATAAATAATATATTATATATTCTGATAAATAAATCTTTTTCACGTGCAGAGTAAATCTGGATTTCTACATGCAACCGCAACAGGGTTTGAATCACAACATTCAGCAATTTTTTGTTGTTTTTTTTTTTGTATTTTGCCTCCACTGACCTGTGTGCGTCCTTTTGTGGATCTTTAGATTCTCGGATCTCGCGAACACTTTCCCACAGCCTGGGAACGGGCAGGGAAAGGGTTTCTCCCCGGTGTGCACTCGAATGTGATTCACCAGTTTGTACTTGGCTTTAAACGGTTTCCCTTCCCTCGGACACTCTTCCCAGAAGCATATGTGGTTCGCCTGCTCGGGTCCTCCGACGTGCTCCACCGTCACGTGCGTTACCAGTTCGTGCATGGTGCTGTAAGTTTTGGAGCAAAGTTTCTTGGGCGAGTGCTCGGGCTCCATCCACTTGCAGATGAGCTCTTGCTTTATCGGCTGCCTCATGTAGCGGAAAAAGGCTCCGGCTCCGTGGTGGTGATGGTGGTGGTGGTGTGCGCCGAGATTCATGTTCAGATTCAGCCCACCGTAGCCGTGTAACGGCGAGGCGGAGAAGGGATCAGCCCTGGAGCTTGCCACTTGACTCAAGTGATCAGACCTGACATACATTTCTCCAGGTAGTCCTAACCTTATTTGTCCATTCAGAGCTTGGCCACCCGGTGATCCGCTGGAAGGCTGGTCGTGATGGAGTCCGGAGAAGAGGCTGTGATTTCCAGCGTCAGGGTGGTGACCATAGTGTCCGGGATAGCTACCTGTTGTTGAGACAAACATTCCGTGGTGAGAGGCTGAACCAGCAGCGGTCTGGTCAGTGAGCACTGGCATGGCTGGAGCCGTCAGATCTCTCCGGATGAGGAACTCCCTACCTGCGGATAAAGCCTGGGCCGTGTGCGACATAGAATAAGGGACCGACGTCGCCTGAATCGGGCCAAAAGCTCCCGTTTGACTGGAGACCACTTCACTGTGGCCTGCCATATGATGATTGTGGTGGTGGTGGTGATGGTGGTGGGGATAATGATGGGCTGGGCTGATTTTGAGGGCCGCGGAGTGCCCCATGTGTTCTGGCCCGAATGGACTCGGCCCCAGGCGGGGTTCCGCAGTAATCTCCCCAGGGTGCGCGTTTGAGTGTGGAGGGCGGCTGACCCCGGGGAAGCCTGTCACGCTCTGAGGGGTATGGTGGTGATGATGGTGATGGTGGTGAGCCCCTGCCAAGTCAACTAATCTCAGCGCCGTGTTCCGTTTGGAAAACGTAGGGTCCATCACGGGGCTTCCCAGTGCATCCACGCTCATTACTTCCTAATTTTAGAATAACTTGACAGCAGGCAAAATAATAATGATGATGACAAATATATTTTAATCGCAATAGAAAAAATACAAGAAGCAAAAAAAAAAAAAACTTTATAAAGTTAAGTCTATCGGCAGACAACATGGAATCCCATTCGGTTGAGAGGCAGCAGCAGGACGCTTTGATACTGAATAGAGATTCATGGTAGGCGCTGCAGCCCGTGGAGCTAAACAATCACCCTGCGCTCTAATTGGTCAGAGCTCCGTGATTGACGTCACCAGTGACAGTTTCCAACGTGAAGAAAAATGTCTTAGTGACAGCGAGCGGCCAGCGCGCCTGCGCAGTGCCTCAGGCAACGCTGGGGAAAAATAGTTGTTATGCAAAGGTTATTGTACGATAAAAGTCGTAAAAAAAAAAGTTGATGCAGATATACAGTCTCTTTTTCTCTCCTTTGTAGCTGCGGACAAAGACTGCGCGGCTATGAAACAGCAATTTCCCCCCACTCCGATTGTGCGGGCACAAAAGCACACTGTCTCGCCCAGAGTATGCATATTGTCACGATAAGAGTTATAAGGATCATAAATAAAGCAGTGATATCTTCATTTTCGCCACAAAAAGCTGAATTCAGAGAGACGTTTACGCACTAATTACGCGCGCCTTTACGCAGCGTACAGCTCCGCTCCAGCGGAGAAAATCCGCTCGGATCGTGAAGAGGAAAAAACTCCACGTGGGACTTTTTTTAAAACAGTCCCCTGTTTATATACTGTGATAAATACCCGCACATTTATACGCACTACGTCCAGCCGAGTGTCCTGTCGGTGTGAACTAAACTACAGCGGAGCTCTGCTGCTCAGGGGGGAGATCCGCGAGGCGAAGCTGCGAGGCTGCAGCCATTGTCCCGGGGAAAAAAAAAATGCAATGGACGAGACCTGTTGTTATGATCCGGGGTAATTTTTCGCTGTAGACCCAGGACGGCAGCACATGAGGGTCATAGGAGGCGGTGGCGACGCAGACTAATGACCAAAATTAAAACGTGTCTACTGTAAGTATGGGTTACTACAACGATGTCCTGAAACTTTCTTTCTAAGTGAGAAATATTTGACTTGTAGCTGTAAATGTATGTCATACAGAGATGGGAATCATAGTATAAATGTGTGTTAAACTGCTTGGAATCTAAATTAAAAGATTTTTGTTTAAAAAAAATACAAATTTCAACACATTAAAAAGTGAATCTTTATAAGGTGGCGTCGAATATTACCAACTACTTTAACTGCGTTACTGTCTGTACGTTTGAAGTATAGTTTATTCTGCGACCAAACTGTTTTTATAAACGAATATTGTTTGGATTGGACGTAATATGTCTCGTTAAAACCAACGCGGTTTTTTTTGTTGGTGTTCTGTTTACACTGACCTTAAAGTCATTTTTTTTACATCACACACATCTGACTATTGGAACATGGTAATAATACAGTGACAGCTTGGCGTCAATCATGAGTGTTTATTATTAAAACACGTCTTAACTTAGTCTTTTAATAAAAACATTGTTAATTTCAGTCCCACAGAATGTGTGGTTTACTGCGAAAATAATGACGTTTTTCTCACGACCGTTATGTGCATTTGTTTATTTTTATTTTTTACCTTTCTATTAGAGCAAAGTCGTTTCTCCGCCATTAATCTGAATTAACTGGTCAGATCTCCCCGTTGACAGCGTCACATAGAGCAGGTTATAAATTGAGTCAATATTTTGAGACGTGACGGCTCCAAAAAGATGTTTATTAAATGGCCTTTTACGCATCAGGGTTCACGGGGCTCACAGCTGCAGCCTTCACAGGCATCACCGGCGTAATGCAAAACTTTCAACTTGTGCTATTTCTGGTCCAAGTTGCAAACACTCCCCACTCCTGGAGAGAAGTAAGTAAAGTCCTAAACAAGCAGGAAAAAAGCCTGGATGTTACAGGAAGCGCTCATAAAACACATGTTTTTTTTCTTTTTTGTTGCTTTGGCTCGACTGCTCTCACTGTAAATCTCACACAGCTCATAGTAGCCATTTTAAAATTTTTACAGTATAGGACTAAAAGATTTTAGAGTCGTGGCACTAAACTCTTATTGGCCCCTCTGATTCCATCGCGTCTTTTTACGCATCAGATTTAAATATGTTACGGTCATTTGGAGGCGCATGAGGAGACCTCACGTGCATCCGCGCAGATATGAATAATTCAGACGGCTCTCCTCTTGGCGCACAATTTCAGATTTAACCTCAATTGTTGCAAATTTGACTTTATGACCCTCCCGGCCCTGGCTCTACAAACGGCGTGGGATTTCTTACCGTTTTCCACCTGTTGAAGGGATTCCTCCAGATTTAGTCAAATCAAAGCAGTGGCTCTAAAAGTTTGAATCAAGTTTTGCGTCCGCGTGTTAAGTTGAAACAAAACACACACAAAAAATTCCCTGTCCTCCTTCAGGTCTCCACAGACTGAACTGGGAGGGAATGCCCTGCAGAAACTGGGCCTAGTAGCCCAGCAGATATTTTAATGGTTCGCATGGCACGTCTGTGCATGTGGCTTTGAACTCCAGCAGCCGGAGGTTCCTGCAGAGAGCGCCGCAAATCCCACTTGATAACTTCGACAACCCACAATGTTTTACACACAGGCCATACATCACTGGAGTGGACTGCAGAAAAATGACTAAGTTGCACAAGTTAAGGCCAAAAAAACGCAAGGGATACTTTGGAATGCAAGTGAAATAGTGACAAGTACTGTATATCCTGTGCAGTACAGGGGGAAGTATTTATGGCCTGGCTGTTGTTGGAGCATCACGATGTTGGAATCTCAGGCACTTATGTTACAGAAGGAACAATCGCAGATGAGAAAGCGTGAGATGAGGAATATGCGTGGATTACGCACAGGCGCCATCCAAAAACAAACAAACAAACAAACAAAAAAAATAGGATTTTACTATAGAAGTGACTGGAGATGACGTGAACTGACCCACAGAAGACTGGGACACACACAGGTGGACGCGTGTGTAAATGGTAACTGACGGTAAGGTGGATGATCGATACAGGGATGGATAGACAGGTAGACATGCAGAAGTAAAGGCAGACATATAGATGGGCAAACATATATAATAATATATGCACATATATTTATGTATATATATGTACTGTATATATATGTATATATGTACATATACAGACATACATATGCATGTATTTATAGTATGTAAGTACATACTCAAAAATATATATACTTAACAGTATATATATATTGTATGGACAGACATCTGTGATGATATATGCACATATATTTATATATATATTTATGTATATATATATACATTCATACTCATGTATTTATAGTAAGTACCTACTCAAAAATACATATACTTAAGAGTACAAATATTTTGTATATATGAACATATATATGTGTAGACCAGTAGACATATATTTGTGAGGGAGTACACATACTCTGACTAAACAGTCAATCTCCTCCACACAGAAGGACTCCCATCATCCTCCAGTGTCTCCGTCTGTACTGATGTGCCGTACAAACCCGGTGCACTCTACGGCCGTGCGGCTCACAGACGTGCTCTGACTCTCTACGAGGACATTTTCTGTCTCTTCTCCATCAACTTTTGTTGTTGCTGTTATTCAGCCTTTTAACCAAATCCACAGTCAGCAATCTCACAATATCTGGGATTGATGATGCAAAGAGGCCAATAGAAGCGTGGGCCCGGCACCGTGGATTGTTGTTTGGTGAGTGGATGACAATCGGGGGGGAAAGGCCCTCCCGCCAATGGGATCGCAGCTGCGGGGCCACATGACCGCCCCCTCCTCTCCCATTCATCAGGGCTGGACTGTGTTGTCTTTTCAATTCATTTATCTGCAGGAATGATTGCGACTATCAGTCTAGAGCTCACCGCCTGACTGAGGAGGTGAAAGTTGCGCCACAGGAAGATAAACCGCAAAAGACAATATTGCATGCATACGTGAATTTGCGTGCGCCTCGGATGAGCGGTATAGGGGGATTCCTCGCGTCTTAGAAAGTAAAGAAAAAAGCGGTGGATTTGAGAGTTTGCTCAGTCGAGTGCGGTGCAGAAAGAGATAGAGAGAGAGGGGGGAGGAAGAATATCTGTGGCTGATTTTTTTATTCCTGCTCTCAGTCGTCTCGGCGAGTCTGAAGACTGAAGATGCTCCTGGACGCAGGACCACAGTATCCCACCATAGGAGTCACTACTTTCGGCTCCTCACGGCATCACTCAACAGGCGAAGTCACAGAGAGAGAAGTGGCGTTGGGGATAAATCCGTTCGCCGACGGGATGGGCGCCTTCAAAATTAACCACAGCTCCCACGACATCGGCTCCGGACAGACGGCGTTTTCCTCCCAGGCGCCCGGCTACGCCGCGGCCGCCCTGGGGCACCCGCACCACCCGACCCACGTTGGCTCTTACTCCACGGCGGCTTTCAACTCCACCAGAGACTTTCTCTTCAGGAACCGGGGCTTCGGGGACGCGGCCGGGGCGCAGCACAGTTTGTTCGCCTCGGGAAGTTTCGCAGGGCCACATGGACACTCGGATGCGGCGGGGCACCTGCTCTTCCCCGGGCTGCACGAGCAGGCGAGCCATGCATCCTCCAACGTGGTCAACAGCCAGATGCGGCTGGGCTTCTCCGGGGACATGTACGGAAGGGCAGACCAGTACGGCCACGTTACCAGCCCCAGGTCCGACCACTACGCATCGACCCAGCTGCACGGCTACGGCCCCATGAACATGAATATGGCCGCGCACCACGGAGCAGGGGCCTTCTTTCGATACATGCGGCAGCCCATCAAGCAAGAGCTCATCTGCAAGTGGATCGAACCCGAGCAGCTGACCAACCCCAAAAAGTCTCTTTTCAATTCATTTATCTGCAGGAATGATTGCGACTATCAGTCTAGAGCTCACCGCCTGACTGAGGAGGTGAAAGTTGCGCCACAGGAAGATAAACCGCAAAAGACAATATTGCATGCATACGTGAATTTGCGTGCGCCTCGGATGAGCGGTATAGGGGGATTCCTCGCGTCTTAGAAAGTAAAGAAAAAAGCGGTGGATTTGAGAGTTTGCTCAGTCGAGTGCGGTGCAGAAAGAGATAGAGAGAGAGGGGGGAGGAAGAATATCTGTGGCTGATTTTTTTATTCCTGCTCTCAGTCGTCTCGGCGAGTCTGAAGACTGAAGATGCTCCTGGACGCAGGACCACAGTATCCCACCATAGGAGTCACTACTTTCGGCTCCTCACGGCATCACTCAACAGGCGAAGTCACAGAGAGAGAAGTGGCGTTGGGGATAAATCCGTTCGCCGACGGGATGGGCGCCTTCAAAATTAACCACAGCTCCCACGACATCGGCTCCGGACAGACGGCGTTTTCCTCCCAGGCGCCCGGCTACGCCGCGGCCGCCCTGGGGCACCCGCACCACCCGACCCACGTTGGCTCTTACTCCACGGCGGCTTTCAACTCCACCAGAGACTTTCTCTTCAGGAACCGGGGCTTCGGGGACGCGGCCGGGGCGCAGCACAGTTTGTTCGCCTCGGGAAGTTTCGCAGGGCCACATGGACACTCGGATGCGGCGGGGCACCTGCTCTTCCCCGGGCTGCACGAGCAGGCGAGCCATGCATCCTCCAACGTGGTCAACAGCCAGATGCGGCTGGGCTTCTCCGGGGACATGTACGGAAGGGCAGACCAGTACGGCCACGTTACCAGCCCCAGGTCCGACCACTACGCATCGACCCAGCTGCACGGCTACGGCCCCATGAACATGAATATGGCCGCGCACCACGGAGCAGGGGCCTTCTTTCGATACATGCGGCAGCCCATCAAGCAAGAGCTCATCTGCAAGTGGATCGAACCCGAGCAGCTGACCAACCCCAAAAAGTCCTGCAACAAAACTTTTAGCACCATGCACGAACTGGTCACCCACCTGACCGTGGAGCACGTCGGCGGACCGGAGCAGACCAACCACATCTGCTTCTGGGAGGACTGCGCCAGAGAAGGGAAGCCGTTCAAAGCCAAATACAAACTTGTAAATCACATCCGAGTTCACACCGGAGAGAAACCCTTTCCCTGTCCGTTCCCCGGCTGTGGCAAAGTGTTTGCCCGATCGGAAAATCTAAAAATTCACAAAAGGACTCACACCGGTAAGAACCGAGGCAGATGATTTCTTGTATGTGTGTGTGTGTGTTTGTTTGTTTGTTTGTTTACTGCCCAGATCCACCGCTGACAATATCACAGCCTTAAAGCATGCATGCGACCCGGGCTTATTATTTATTAGACAGCTGCTGTCTTTGCACTGGCATGTGATTCAGTGCAGCTGTCGACAGAAAAATATTCTATTGGCATTTTTATAGTCTGGTTATTGTACGTTAAGTGTTATTTCCTGAGCCTCTTTTAATTTGACTGAATTTATTTTACAACCAAAATAAAAAAAAAAAATAAAAAAAAAAAACAGGTTCAATGGAACCATTTACAACCCTGTGAAATAAATCAACCACAAACGTGTGTAATATTGTTGGCGTAAATATTCACCGTGATGTGCTGTGAGATAAGAGTGATTTCTAACGTGTGTTTTGTCCACGTTCTCGTGCAGGCGAGAAGCCTTTTAAGTGTGAATTCGAAGGCTGCGACCGGCGGTTTGCAAACAGCAGTGACCGCAAGAAACACATGCACGTCCACACGTCGGACAAACCGTATCTCTGCAAAATGTGCGACAAGTCCTACACACACCCGAGCTCCCTCCGCAAACACATGAAGGTAAAGACGACGCATGCATTTTGCAGCATTTTTGTGATTATTTTTTTAAAATTATATTTTATCTGTTAATTGCAGCAGGATTTGTTTTTTTTCTTTTGTGAAGTATAATCTGCAGAAATAGAAGTTAATTTTCTTTGACATTTTCTTTATGCCTTTACCACCAACCGACAAATGAGATTAAGACCTGCTTTGTTGCACAGTTCACACCCTTACTCCCCCCTGAAAAATTCAAATTTATAATTTTTTTCACTTCTACAATTCCAGGTCCATGAATCCTCGAATCCAGCCTCGCAGCCTTCTCCAGCGGCCAGTTCAGGGTACGAGTCGTCCACGCCTCCCACCATAGTCTCCCCGTCCACAGAGAACCAGAGCAGCAGCTCCATATCACCAGCAGCCTCAGCAGTTCACCACACAACCAGCCACAGCACGCTGACGTCCAATTTCAATGAATGGTACGTGTAAATATTTTTGAGAAAAACACAAAAAACAAACAAACAAAAAAAAAACTACCGCAGAGAGAGCGAGACAGAGGGGGAGGAAGAAAGAGACTGCAGAATTTAAAAGGGGAAAATACTTGGAAACAAAGACTTTTGGACTGAAAAAACCCCCGAGGGGAGGCCCTGACGATCATTTTTAAAGAGACTGCATGGACGTTTTGAAAAAAAAAAAAGGAGCCAACGACTTTTAACTTCTCCTCACCCCCTGAAAAAACCCCTCTCCAGTATTTTTTTATTTTCTAACTGAGAGACTGCTCAGAGACAGAACAGCATGCGATCTGCAAGAGGTAAAAGAAAGGCCTGTGATTTTTTCCCCCTTCTCTTTTTTTGTACATAAAAAAATTTCCACCAAGTTGGGGGAAAATGTAAAAATTTTTAATTTGTAAATACTTCTATGACAGTTAAGGGGGCATTTGTGACGATATGTGGTCCCTAGATATATGGATTAAAAAAAAGAAGAAGAAGGTTTTAAAGAATATGTGCATTGAATAGAGTCGCACCGGAGAGGGAGGAATGTTATAGTTGTGTACCCAAATGTGAATTTATTCAGTATTACTACAGTCTACACGTCGACCTAACCGACTCTTAGTATTAATGTGCTTTTGTAGCCTATTCAGTGCAACATTTTCGTCCGAGGTCCAGTTTTGAGTAGAGCACAGTATCATTGTTGTTATTTAATGTCATGTCGAAGATGAAGAAAAAAAAATCGTGTAGTGAAAAAAAAGCCTGAAAAATTCCGTGTCAATCTGTTCATGTACGTGATAAATATATAAAAAAATCTCTGTCAATTGCTTTGTCTGAAAGGAAGTATTATTATTATTATTATTATTATTATTATTACATGTAAGTAGCTCAATTTTCCATATTTATCCGCATGTAAAGGACATGTTAGAAATATGGTCGGTATTTATGGAGAAATGCGCTCGTATGTAAAATTTAGTTCACACACACTCACACACGCGCGCGCGCATAAAATGTTTGGATACATTTCGTACTATATTAAAGGATTTAAAAAAAATGAAAGAATGCAATTGGTTGGAGGTGATTGGTTTTGTTAGTGTGTGTGTGTGTGAGAGAGAGAGAGTTTCACGCTTTTATTGGTGATTATTTTAAATCAATAAATAGTTAAATAAAATAACACTAGGATTGAAATTAATTTAAAGGATTATTTAGTTTATCTCAGATTAAATTAGCGCTGCTTGCAGATTTTTGGAAGGCGACAAATTGTTTTTAATGTGATCACTCCCGGTGTGTGTGTGTGTGTGTGAAAGAGAGAGAGAGAGAGAGAGAGAGAAAGGGGGGGTGAGAGAGTGCCTGTGTGTGTGTGTGTAAACTTCCCTGACACTCACACCACACGGCTGCCTCTTTCTGTTTATCCAAAAATTAACACACACAAAACACAACCCAACACACACTTTGCCCCGCGGTAATGTGCAAATGAAATCGATTAATCACGCGTGTTTGTATCTCAGTAGGTTTAGCAGTAGTTTGCTTTTAAAGCTAATTATTTTAGAGGGTAAAAAATCGAATTTTCTAATTTCCAAATCTAATTTATTTGCTTATTTTCGGAGGGGGATTTTTTTTTTTTTTTTTGGAGGGGGGGTGTCCGGCTTTTCTGCCTGCACAGACTGCAGCTCAGCTCCGCCACTGTGGCCCCTCTTTTCTTTCTCTATTGTTCCTGCCATACATGTCTCTCTGCAGTTTGCTTGACCGCCCCATTAGGCAGAGATCACATCAGCAGCCGCCGGTGTGGTCGTGGTTAACACTGGTGCCAGCAGCGCCAGGGCGCACGGATCTGCGCCGTGCACGAGCCGTCAAAAGCACACGCGCGCGCACACGTATACACAGCAGAGAAAGAACCAAACAGCAACTGTTTTTATGCTTCAACACAACAATATATACAGCACTAGAACTGGAGTGTATACATATATATATTTATATATGTATTTATATATGTGTGTGTGCGTAAAAGCGCGTCCACGACTCCCATCATCTTAGATGATTTGCCGGAATGTATTGAAATGTATTCATATTTTCTTTTCACGGACTATTAGAGTTGGAGATGAATGAAGGATGCTGATAGAATGACTTTTTCGACTCTATTTAACCCTATCTGCCTACGGTTCCGGTGCTGAAGCCTCTCCTTCTTCTCCTTCTTCTCCTCCATGGCTGAAGATGGAGGAGGAGGAGGAAAGTGGAGATTAAAAAGCCACGCACAAAAAAGTCACTTTGAGGGGATTTGTAGAAAAAAATGTTCACATGTAACTGGAAATATAAATAGTTTAAAGTGGATGCGTTCAAACTAGAGCTCATGTGGTTTCCATGCTGGCGGGATACTGCACACACATGCTCCATATTTAAATACAAAGCTGATGCCAGATTGACAGATGCAGAAAAATGAGGGAGAGACATGGAGAGCAGTGGAGCCAAAAAAAAAAAACAATAAAAATCTTTTTTTATTATTTCAAACCTGACCTTGAAAAATATTTTAGAAATGTTAAATCCTGTTGTAGGACGGTTGGAGTTTTTTTTTTTTTGGGGGGGGGGCTGTTTTTGGACCGTTTTGTCTGATGGTGTTTTTTCAAACGTCTGGACACAGAGACTTGTTTAAGGCCGCAGCCGTGCGCCTTTTTACGCAGCTCTGTGACAGAATGCTAAGCTCGAAGCTCGACTGCGCCGCTTGGTTTCATTTCCAGCCAGCGCTTGTCTTGGGTCGTGTCGTGTTGGTTTACACTGCACACACACGTGCGCGCGCGCACACACACACACACACACGATCGGTGTCGAAAATAAAAAGCTCGTAAAAAATAAAGACGCGGGCTGAGGCAGGAGGGAGAGAGAGGGAGGTGGGGGGTCCGCGGGGGGGGAGAGAGAGAGAGAGAGGGAGAGAGAGAGTTAGAGCCGACGACAGGCTGCAGCGCGTCTCTCCTCCACCGACTGATCCTGACTCCACACCACGGATAATCAAAACATCCACTTTAAAATGTATTTACGCACAAGTCTGCAAACGACACGCACTCGGATGAGCGTAAAGCGCAGGCGCCGCCGTCATGAATATTTAACAGCAGCACTTGTGGCCAGAAAAACTCAGGCTGCCTGTCGTTTGGGCTGCGAGGTGGAGGAAAGTGGCAGCATCTGGCAGCAGACATTTGCTCCAGCTCCTCCGGCCGGGTTGTTATTACAATTTTTTTTTATTTATCCTCACCGTCTGAAAAGCCAAAAAGCTGCAGACTGAGTGTAATGGAAAAACTAAAGACATGACTAGACCGGATAATAACTCTGTGGATCCTCCTGACATCTTCTATTTATTTATTTTTATTATTATTATTATTACTTTTTTTTTTTTTGCTGGACGCTTCTAAAACAATTGACGTTTTTCGTTTTCTATTCAGAAAAAAAAGATTATATATTTTGTTTATTTGCACCAAAAATCATAGGGATAAAATGTAATCGAACACGACATTTTGCAACTGAAATAATCGACACACGTAACGTTAAAACGAACTGCAGACAGAGAGAGAGAGAGAGAGAGAGGAGACAAGTGAAGTCTATTTTTAACTGCGTCCAAACTTTGCAGGCCACACACACACACACACACACACACACAGACACACACTCCCAAATTGCAAGTCATGAAATAATCTTGTAAAAATAATAATAATAATATTATGGCATCACAGTTTGCATCTGCTGTGAAGGGGTCAGATCCAAGTCGAGGCCACTTGGGTTTACTGGCATGTCAGCAGACATTTCTATTTTATTACTTAAAAAATAAATAAAAAATCCGTACTAGAGAGTATGTAATTCAGAATTTCTGGGATTAAAAACTGCCATAATCTGGACACACTTCAACCAGTACCATATTTGTTTTGAATAGCCGACAATTTTTAAAATTATTTTCTTATGTTATTATTGCATCAGAACCTTAGTTTTAATACCAGAACACTATTATATATATATATTTCTAATATATATATGTGTATATTTTGTATTCAATGTTAACCTTGAACATTAAAATGCAAAACGTCAGTGTAGACCAGTGGGATTAGAACTGCAACCACGCTATCTGCTAATATCAGGTGGTCTCAAATGCTGGGTAGCGACCCACTAATGGGTCATGAGATGATGTTGTCTTGGGTCGTCCAAAAATGAATGTGAGAGATCAGAACTGCAGTACCCAATGCTACCAAAAACTGCCTCGCCACACACTGATAGGTTATGGGAAATTTTTCCTTGGGTTGTCTACAAGTCAACCTTATTGAAATATTTGATGCAAATGAAATGTATTGTGTTTCAAGCGAGTGGCGTAAAATTGACACTAGATGACACTCAGGGATACAAACCAATTATGTGCAATCGATGCTTTAAATTTAAATAAATTGACACTAGATGACACTCAGGGATATAAACCAATTATGTGCAATTTAAATGTGTGTCGACTATTGGGAGATTTAAAAAAAACCCCAGAACCCACGTTTTTGTTCTTACTTTTTCTCCATCACGTCGGTTGTTTTTGTTCTTCTTTGTCGCGGTGCTGATTGGAACATTCATCTCGCCGTTGCCATCCCAGTCCTGTCCCCGTCGCCGGGCTGTGCAGTCGTAGGAGAGGCTTCGTTATAGTGAAGCATCGGCTCCCGGTGACCCCCGTTGCATCAGTTGTGCTTGTGTGACATGCCATTAGGTTCTGGAGGAGCCGTAGAGGGGAGATTTGTGGAGGCGCCGCCGCCGCAGTGCTGTCGCGTCCCCTTTGACGTGTTGCTAAATGGGGGCCACTCCAATTAGGTGTGGGGGACGTGCATGGGTGGGAGTCGAACAGCATCTCTGTAGAGAAACACACAGTCACAGAGTTACATATGTGTGTGTGTGTGTGTGTGTGTGTGTGTATTCAGATGTAACTCAGGTGAAGGGTTCACCAAAACACACTGTATTTTAATGTTGACGTCAGGATTTAAGGGAAACATATGGTCAACACTGAGCCCGTATTTAAAAATGCTAAAACTGCAGCTAATACTGGCTAACATGGGAGTTTACATCAATATTTTATTTAAGGATTTAATTCTTGTTTTTATTGTCAAACCAGAGAAATAAATAAACTAGTGAAATCTGAATAAAACCCTTCCACTGTAACAGCAGTGTTGATGATGACATCGTATAAATGTCCAGGGTTAGTACAGTCCAGTGTTAGTACAGTTTGTTGACACTAAATATTCCAAAAGCCCGAGCAAAAAACTAAAAATCCATGATTGTATATATGTTCTTTCTGCAGTAACAGTAACAGTCACAGTCATGATCTTTGGTGACGCAGCAGCTCACTCCTTAAATCTGACATGCACATGGTAGCTTATGAACTTTGTGTTTTTATGAACACGTTTTGCAGCCGTTGTCCAAAGGAGAGACTTTGTTTGTGAAAATATACATGATATAATTTAAAGTCAGCATTAGAAGGGCAGGCACAAATAAAATGGACTTCATCTTAATCAATAATAATAATAAACAAGTTAAAAATGAATATATATTATAATTTAATATGTTTATTATTTGTTGTCACAACTTTGGTCTACTGGATAAGCAAAGATAAAAGTAATAACAACAATGATTATTTTTAAAAATTAATATGCTCTTTAAGTTGGAAATCTGTTTTTTGTTTCTTTTTTATGGGATTTTTAAAAATAGTATCTGTTCAGAGGAAGTTTTATTGTCCAAATGTAACACCTTTAAAACAGGTTTTTAAACAGGGTTGTTCAATGATAAATGGAGCTGCAGCCAAATATTACTGCACAGCTGATAAATTCATCAACTCTCCTGTGAGTCATGAACTTCGTCTGGAGCAGAAATGAAGGAAAGGTTGAGAACCTCGGAAGAGGGAACAATATGGGACTATTTTAATTTAGGATTAGTCATTAGGTCATCTGGAAGTATATATGTAAGAAAAAAAATTGTGATTTTTCCAGTTTATGGTCCACAGAAAAATGATGAGTTAATTAGAACATCAAGCTGAAAAAAACATCTGTCACATTTGATAA